GGAAACTGAAAGACAAGACTAGGGGAATTTCACAGGCGTTACAACCTAAGAGCTGGGAGGGACCTGGTTGGCAATCCTGCCTCCTCCTCACTGGCAAGGAAACAGGCCCAGGCACTTGACGGTTGCCCAGCCATTCCAAAGAGAGGCAACAGGACAGAGGATAACAGCATAGCAGCAGACCAAGTTCAAACCCTGGCTTTGCCTCCTACTAGCTACAGAACCCCTGTGCCTGCATTGACTGACTGGACTGATTTGTAGAAAAGGGAAATAATATCTAAGAATATTGAAAGAGTTAATACATGTAAGGCACACAGCGTAAGTGCTCAAGAGATAGTATTATTAAGAGCCGGCTAATTTGTGTCCAGCCTGGATTCCAACCCCTGACTCCCAGTTTCATGTTCTGTCCAGTATCCCGTGATGGGCACGGTAGGAGGTTGGGAGTAAACAAGGTGTATCTAGAACACGAGGGAGCCCAGTTTAACTGGATTGTTTGAACAGAGTTGATCTTGACAAGGCAAGGAAGGCCTGGTTGGGGCGGCCGTGTGACAGGCAGGCAGATGGTCCATCGAAAGCCCATCTCTACTCTGTAGCTGCGTGATCCTGGACAAGTTACCGTCTCCTGGTGTGTCTCAGCTATAAGTAAGGACAGTAAGAGTGCCTTCCTCATATGTTTGAGCATTAAATGGGATAATGTAGGCAAAGCATGAGGACCAAGAAATGGGGCAGATGTCATTATCATTTTTGTGACTTCTTATTGGGTCTCCAAGATACACGCTCCCTTGTGGTGACACATCCCCAATGGCTAGATGTGGACTCTTGGGATTCTCAAGACTGCTTCCTCACAGAGGCACCAAAGCGCGCCTTCGCTCCCCTTCTTCTCTTGATATCTTTCTATTCTGGAAGCTAGCTGGACACCCTGCAGGCCAGCGGGATTTCTAATGGCAAGCCAAGGGTCTCCAGGAGAAATACCAGTTTTGATTTGTCTCAAGATCTGTCACTCAAGCAGTAGATGCTTTGTACCACACAGTCAGTGACTTATGTGGAGCACACAGTGATGTTCCATTTTCATTCCACTCTCTGGTTGCCCAGCACCTCTCTCATAATGCAGTAAAATCTCACTTGAACACGTAAATTTTGTTACAGGTGTGAATAACATCTGTCTCTTCCTCAAGCCTGTGAGCACCATGAGGGTAGAACTGGGCCTGATTCCTTGTGTCCTGGCATTTAGTACAGGGCCTGGCATTTGTCCATCCAACAAATACTTTGTATGTTACAGGTAATGTGTTGTGCATGTGTGCAGGTGTGTTCATGCACCTAAAATATACTCAAGTAGCTGATAAATGATTGCTCATACTGAATTAGTAAAAACCTTGAATTACAGATGACTTCCTATGGAATATATATTTTCATACTTTTCAAGGGCCTAAAAGAAACAAATTTGAAGTGAATAAAACATTGCTTAGATAGGTTCTTTTCAGGACCTGTTTAATTAATAGGTATTATTTTCATTTGAAATTAAAATGGTTGTCCATTTTCATTCATTTAACACATATTTACTGAGCACCTCCTATGTTCCAGGGAGTATAGTAGAACAAAATAGACCCCCAAAAATCCTACCCTTGTAGAGCTTGCATTCTATTAGGGGAGACAATAAATGAAATAAATGTCTGTGCACATAAACTGAGGGACAGGGAGAGGAAAGGCTGCCTTGTTGCTTACAGGCCCCAGGGATTAGAGCTGGGGATGAGAGGTGGCCTAGGGCTGGGCTTCCCACCTTATGCTTGCCAGTGGTGGTGTATGGCTCACACTTATGAGTGCTTGGTGTAGAAACCATGTTCCTTAGGTGTTTGAAATGGACTTTGCATAAAAAGGATAGTGTAGGACTAGTCATTAGGAGCCGTCTCCACTTTACAATGCCATAGTTCTATGTAGCTTTTGCCCTGGAATCTTCTTATAGCTCCTTGTTCATGGTACCAGGCAGAATTCCATCATGGTTAAGAACAAAGACTTTGAAGTCTGACCTTAATTTAAAACGCCACTCTAGCTGTGTATCCTTGGGCAGGTTACAAAACCTCTCTGCGCCCAGTTGTCTACATCTATAAAATAAGGAATCATCAATCCTATTTCATAGTATTGTTAAAAGGATTAAATGAGATAAAATATGTAAAGTACAGGGCCTAGAGTATAATAAGCTTCCCATAGACAGTAATTATTGACATTATTAAATGTTGCTGAATGAATGAAAAGAATTCATGAACTTGGTATTAAAACTTGGACAGGCGTGGACACTGTCATAAAGTGCTGTCCTGGTATGTCGTCCTATGTGGACAGAGGACAGGATACAGATAATTAGTGAGGGGTTGAATTGTCTTTTATTTCACCTCCCTCTCCTGGGGTGTCACTTTGAGGCTTTACATGTTGGTCCATTGGCCCCCAATATGCCAAGTGTTTGGAGAAGAAGATTCCTTGTAAACATTCTTTATGTCATTTAAATAGTCCACAGGTTCTGTAGTCCTCGGACCCAAATTCTCAAGATTCCTGATGAATGAAATATGATCGGCCAGTGCAGAAGCAGGGCCTGCTAATGATGATAATAGCAACTGGCATTCATTGAGAACCTACCATGTGCCGAGCGTATGTGTGAGGCCACGTGCAACTCCTTTCTGCAGCTGGGAAAATGGAATCTCGGGATAGTAAAGAAAAAGCCAACCAACTGCTAGTAAATGACAGAGGCAGGAACTGATGGCCTCCAGAGCAGCTGAAGCCCTTCCCACCTTCTGCCTCCAGCTCTCCCTGCACGTACATCTGGTGACCTTGCCCAAGGCTGCCACTGCTCTCTCTGAAGATATTTTTTGCATGGGGTGTGCTTGGTGTTTCTAAGTGCTCAGTCCTAATGAGATTGCCTTCAATCGATACTGATGTGAAAATGTAGTTCTCAGCTACAAGGATACCAGTCAGAATCCAGGAAGGGGCCTTCATTAATGCTTGATCGGAATACAAAAGATAAGGCCTGAGACTGAGACCTTGGGTCAGAGACCATAATGAGCTCCTGTTTTTCTGTTTCAATGGCTTTTTTCAATTCTCAAGTTCAATTCTGATTGATCAATTGTTTTGTTGTTCTCTGAAATGGTTCTGTGACAAGTATTTTTGATTTGGCTGGTGGTTTAATTTAGCAAGGTTTGAAAGAGAACTCTGTATTCTTAGGTTTTCTATGTGGAATTTGATACTGTGAGTTCACTGAGCAGGCAGGAAAAAGGAAGCTTTGGAGGACAAGAAACTCAGTGGTCTGCAGGCTGGTGTTTGTATCGCAATTATAGACCGAACCAAATACTTCTTAAGCAGAACATACTCAATCGCCATTGTTGGGGGGTCCAGAATAATTAAATATTGGCAAATATGTATAGCTTGACATCATATATGCTAAGCACTCAGAAGGCAAAGAATTCATTATTTTACCCGGCTTTGGTTCTAATCAAGCAACAAATATTTATTGAACGTTTGTGCATAAGACTCTCAGTACAAAGATGAGAAAAACCAAAACCCTGCCCTCAAGCTCACATCCTAGTTAAGATGTGATTATTAAATAATAACGTGAGAAATTATGGTTTCACTGGGCGAGTCCCTGAGCACATGCGAAATGAATGAGCCAGACCAAGTATGATGGGGCTTCAGAGAAAAGAAAAACTCAGTTGGGGCTAAAATAATATGTAAAAGATGAATTTGAATCAAGCAAAATTTGAATCAGTGAAGAAGGAATGATCGGGCAGAGCTTACAAATGGGAAGCATTTCATTTGAACCAGAGACGTTCAAAATCAAAGTAGAAAGATGAGGTAAGGCAGCTTATGACATGCTCGATATCAAACTGTGGAGCCACGTCTTTTATTCCCGTAAGTGGAAATTAGCTGAAGCTATTAAGAGAGATGGTGAGTGCCTGGGTATCAGAGCAAATGGACAATATACAGGGTGGGGCAAATGTAGGTTTACAGTTGCATGTGAAAGGGTTTATTCTTCTATTTATTGATTATTGTATTTTCCATATGAACAACTGTAAACCTACATTTGCCCCACCTTGTATGCAAAAGACATTGTAGCCACAGTTTACTGATGAGACTGAGGCACAGTGAAGTTAAGTAACTTGCCCAAGGTCATGCAACTAGTAATGGCAGCAAATGGTAGCAAAGCCCTGTTATTAAACACCGTGATCCAGGAGATATGAAAACATGTCCACACAAAAACTTGTACGTGAGTATACATAATAGCCAAACAGCAGAAACCACCCAAATGTCTATAAACTAATGAACTGATAAAGAGATTGTGGTATATCCATACAATGGAATATTATTCTGCCGTTAATAGGAATGAAGTAGTGACACATGCTACACCATGGCTGAACCTTGAAAACATCATGCTAAATAAAAGTAGTTGGACACAAAAGACCACATACTGTATGGTTCCATTTGTGTGAAATTTCTGGAATAGGTAATTTCATAGAACCAAAAAACAGACTAGTGGTGGTATAGGAATGGGGAGTAACTGCTAACAGGTATGGAGTTTTTTTGAGGGGGTGGATGAAAATGTTCTAAATTTAGATTGTGGAGATGGTTGCATAATTATGTGATTATACTAAAAACCACTGAACTGTAGTCTTTAAATGAGTAAATTTTATGATATACAAATTATACCTTCATAAGGCTGTAAAAATTTTTTTTTTAATTTAAGTATCTAAGATGACTCCAGGTATTGGTATGTACAGTGACACCTGGAAACAAGGGGAAACGTGAAACACAGTTAAGTACATAGACCTGGAGCTGGGAAATGGTCAGTGCCAGATGAATGGATGGGACAGGCCCCATGCCAGTCCTTCCATCAGAAGGAAAATACAGAAACCAGTGACAGTTTTGCCTGCTGCCAAGGAGCTGACAGCTCCTCTGTTAGCAACATGTGAGAGTCCGTTGATAAGAATGTGCTCAGTTTGTCTCGTTTTGCGTTCGTTCTGCAGTTTTTGAAGAACCGGAAGATCCAAGCAACAGGTCGTTTTTCTCTGAAATTATCTCTTCGATTTCGGATGTGAAGTTCAGCCACAGCGGGAGGTACATCATGACCAGGGACTATCTGACCGTTAAAGTCTGGGATCTCAACATGGAAAACCGCCCCATCGAGACGTACCAGGTACAGACCACCCCCGCCCACGTGTGCACTGCACACTTCCCCTGTGGGCTTCCACATCAGCCTCTGCCTGCAGAGGTTTATCACAGCGCAGGAAAATCAACATGGTACCGCCTCGGGGGCCATAGGATTTAAGGCCGGGGTGCACATGGAGGGGCTAGGACTTAACCTTGTCTACTGCGCGATGGATCCCATAGGTACAGACACGGTCCTACTCTCCTGGAGCTGAGAGCTGGTAGAGAAGTGAGCTGACAGGCAGGGAACTGAGCGTGTGGTGGGGAAGGAGATGGTGCTGAGCGCCGTGGGAGCATGTGCAGGAAGGGCCACCCCGATGAGAAAGGCTTTTCGAAGAAGTGACCCTTCAGGTGAGTCTTAACTACCATGAACTAGCCAGGAAAATATATTTTTAGAATAGCCTGTTGAAAGGCCTGGAGTCAAGAGACACGTGGTGTGTTCAGAAAGGAGCTCTTTACACCTGGAGTATGGGACACAGGGGCGGAAAAAAGAGCTTGGAGATAGGTGTAGGCCCTGGTGAAGCGATTAGGTTGCTTTGTCTTTAGGCTGGGTACCATGGAGAGCCATTCAAAAGCCTGGCACAGGAAATGCCATTGTGGATTTTTTTGTTTTTACTCTGTTTCATGAAGGCATTTAGGGAGGGAAGATGGTGCGTCTGTGAGGTCTGCTAGCTGACTGGGTGTGGAGGGAAGAGGCATCGGGAAGGCTGTGTGGAGGTTTGGGCTTAAGAATCACCAGATGGTTTGTAGACTTACGAAAGGACAAAGGAGAAGGTATTGTTTAGAGTGGTTTGTTATTGTTTTTCAAAAGGATCTGAAGAAACTAATTCCAGGCAAGAGTACTATGGAGGCAAAGGACAAGAGGCAGGAATAAACTAGTCTTATTTTAAGATACCTTGGGTAGATAAAAAGAAGTGGGGAAATTCCAGACGGAGGAGTTGGGTTCGCGTATTTCTTCTTGAGATGTAATGCACGTACCATAATATTCACCCTTTCGTAGTGTACAATTCAGTGGGGCTTTGTCTGTGCCCAAAGTTGTGGAACCATCACCGCTATCCAATTCGAGAACATTTCCATCATTGACTAACATTTTAAAATAAATATTCTGGTTGTGCTGGGGAGGAGAAACTGTAAGGGAGATATGGGAGGAGACAGAATAGTTACGAAGTTATTGTGACACCCTGGCAAGGGGTGTTGGTGTTAGTAGCGTAGATGGTATTAGCAGTGGAGGTGGCCAGAGTCTTGATATATTTCCAAGGTAAAACCAATAGGATGGATGACAGATTTGATGTGGGATGTAAGGGAAAAAAAGCACTAAGGATCACTTCCAAGGTTCTTATCCTAAGCAAAGTGGAGTTGCCGTTTTATTTGGCTGAGAAAGTTGATAGTTTGGTTTTGGATGCCTTTCATTGGCTCAACATCCAGAAATAGCAAGTAGGCAGGCAGCTCGGTGTGAGTCTGGACAGATCTAGCCTAGAGAAAAACATTTTGAGGGTATTTAAAGCCCTAGGACTGGACAAGGTCACCTAGGAAATGAGTATAATTAGAGTAAAGAAGGGGTTGGGAACTGAGACCCCAGTGTTTACATGTTGGTTAGAGAAAGGGGCCAGGCAGGTAGGAGGAAAATGGAGAGGAATGTCCTAGAAGCCTAGTGCAGAAACTATCCAAAGGAGGGAGGACTCCTCCACTGCTGTTGCTGAATCAAGGAAGGAAAGACTGAGACTTGACCACTGGGTTTAGCAAGTAGAGATTCTCGGTAACCTCAGTGAAAGAGGTGTAGGTGGGCTGATGAACGTCTGGTTGGAGTGGGTTCCAGACAGATGGTGAACAGAGGATCTGAGCATAGTGAGTACGGATAACTCCTTCCAGAAATTCTGTCCTGAAGGGGAATGGAAAAGTGGGGCACAGGCTTAAGAAGTTTTATGCTGATAAGAAGTCAGTGGAGACAGTCCTTGAGGGAAGCAAGTCCATTGCAGAACTGGCCTTAGGTGGGAAGATGGACAATTCATCCACCAAAGAAAAAAGAGTATGCAGTTACGGGCGCAGTAGGCTTGTAAAATTATGCGATGGGAACATATAGACAGTGTCTTCTTATGTTGATTTTCTCAGTAAAATAAGGAGGTCATCAGCTGAGGGAGGAGGGAGGAAAAAATGTAAAATAGTTATTAAAGGAGTGATTGACTAGGGAAGGGAGGGCTGCTCAGGACGCCCCTGAGGTTTACGTTATCGAGTTAAAGTGAGACCGCCTGCCCGCTGCTGCTTCCCAGCCACAGTGAGCGGCCGGGGGCGCTGGGGAAGGGCAGGAGGTTAGATGTAACCGGTGATGGGGATTCGCCCAAAGAGAAGGGCCTGATGGTCATGACGCTAAGGGAGGGAGGGAGGAAACTGGATCGGTAGATCTGAAGAATTGATCAGGTCAGGAAGAAGCCATAGAGCAATACAGTGGGGCCTCGGTTTCCGAACGTCTCCGCTGGCGAGCATTTCGGGTCACGAACGCCAGAAACCCGGAGGGAAATGCTTCGGTTCTCGAACCCGCCTCGGAAGTCGAACAGGCCACAGGGCTTCCGCTGAGGGCAGGATCCTGCGGCCCAGCTGTCGGCTGCGGATCCCTCGGTTTCCGAACGTTTCAGAACTCGGTCCCCCGGAACGGATCACATTCAGAAACCGAGGGACCCAGTTACCGCAGCGGCAGCATGAACAAGGAAACGGAGGACAAAACTCACTGCAAATGATGAGGCCAAGCAACCGCGGGACCAGAGCGTTTGGGTCCCTAAAGCATGGTGGCAGGAAGAGTGACGGGAGAGAGGGAGGCGCTAGACTTGCTTCAAGGAGCGAGGCAGAGGAACTCGGAGGACTATAGGCAGGAACAAGTGTCTGGAGCACCAAGGACTCCGCCCTGTCACAGGACAGCAAAAGTCCAGCCACCACGTGAGCAGCTTCAGGAAAAGCAGATCTTTCCATCAGAAGGAGGAAGAGTTCAGAGAGGAGGTTGAGGACACCCAGGACTCTGATGACCGACTGAGTTCCAGAGGGTGCTGAAAAAAGATCTGGGGGCCAGAATTCAAGACCGCATATGTAGTTGAGAGAGTTTGGTTAGCCCTGTGGTTCAAANTGCCTCGGAAGCCGAACAGGCCCCGCGCTTCCGCTGAGGGCAGGATCCTGCGGCCCAGCTGTCGGCTGCGGATCCCTCGGTTTNCGCCTCGGAAGTCGAACAGGCCACAGGGCTTCCGCTGAGGGCAGGATCCTGCGGCCCAGCTGTCGGCTGCGGATCCCTCGGTTTCCGAACGTTTCAGAACTCGGTCCCCCGGAACGGATCACATTCAGAAACCGAGGGACCCAGTTACCGCAGCGGCAGCATGAACAAGGAAACGGAGGACAAAACTCACTGCAAATGATGAGGCCAAGCAACCGCGGGACCAGAGCGTTTGGGTCCCTAAAGCATGGTGGCAGGAAGAGTGACGGGAGAGAGGGAGGCGCTAGACTTGCTTCAAGGAGCGAGGCAGAGGAACTCGGAGGACTATAGGCAGGAACAAGTGTCTGGAGCACCAAGGACTCCGCCCTGTCACAGGACAGCAAAAGTCCAGCCACCACGTGAGCAGCTTCAGGAAAAGCAGATCTTTCCATCAGAAGGAGGAAGAGTTCAGAGAGGAGGTTGAGGACACCCAGGACTCTGATGACCGACTGAGTTCCAGAGGGTGCTGAAAAAAGATCTGGGGGCCAGAATTCAAGACCGCATATGTAGTTGAGAGAGTTTGGTTAGCCCTGTGGTTCAAAGAGCATCCCCTGTATATCGGGGATCTTACTGTCCCCCGAAGCATACCCAGACTTAAGGGTGCAATCCACAGCACCTGCCCAAGGTCTCACTCACAGTCCCTCTTCAGCCCAGGGCCACAGCCAACACGAGCACTCTTTCAGCTGCACGGACGAACCACCTAGTGTTGCAACCTTAACACAAAGAGAAGGCTGTGGGGACTAGAACCTGAGTGCCGGTGGCACTGGCAGGTGTGGCCTGCTGCAGAGCCTTGACTAGAGAGAAGTAGATTTAGGTAACACAGTGCTCAGAGCAATTATACTCTCATCTTGGGGACAGGGGAAGGCTTTCAGACCACAGCCAGCAGTGACATGGACTAATCAGCATTTTAAGATCTTGGTTCTCAAAATGTTAGCTAGTGGGAAACTTGAAAATCTACTTTGTGGAGCAGTAAGAAATAGGCATCATAGCACATGTGTTGAAATATCACAAAATTGTATTTTAAAACACTGTTGAATAAAGAGAGTGAGGCCTGGCCCAATGGGAAAGAATTCTATAATCGATTACCAATGCCTGCCCAGGGGAGATAGGTAATACACCTGCTATGTATTTTCACATCAACTGAGCTCAGCAAGTTTCCGTGAGTAAGGAACCGTAGACTTAAATATGATGAGCTATTTTTAAGGTTTCCTATAGAACAGGAGATGGCAAGTTGTGACTTGTGGGCCAAATCCAGCCCCACCTCTGTTCTTAGAAAGTTTTTTTTAAACACAGCCATATCCAATCATAGTCATAGTGGCGATGGCTGCTTTCATGCTACAGTGGCAGAGGTGAGTGGTTGTGACAGAGGCCATGTGGCCCACAAAACCTGAACTATTTCCTGTCTGACCCTTTACAGGAAAGGTTTGTCAACCCCTGAAATATAAGAACCAGCCATCCGCGTTTACTCTTGCTAGGCCTCATGAGCAGGCCATGAACTACACAAGTACATCATTGAGAACCACTGGCTTCGGAGGCTCAGCTTAGTGTCAAAAAGGCCAAACACAGGCCAGAAATAATAGTGGGAACATGCCCAGAAGCATCGAACAGGATGAGTTTTAAGTTCTCTCTTGTTCTGCTCTCTAGATGCTTCTTGTGTACGTATCTGACCTTAGTCTTGCCTCTGATGGAGAAAGATGCACTTTGTTTGCCTAAGATTTTTAACAACAGAGCCTAAATGCGACACCTCCATAGTAGGTGTCCTCTTCCTTCAGGGGTCTTCAGTGGGGGCCGGCAGGCGCTTCCCAGAACGTCAGTGCTGGGGAGAAAACGGTTCAGACGAGGTTTTCCCCCGAATCCTTCCTGACTTTCGGCCTTCAGGAATTATTTATGGATAGTCAGTGATGCTGTAATAACCATGTATGGTGTCAGGTGTGGACTAGACTTACCGGGTGGTCACTTCATAAGCTACGTAAATGTCGAATCACTGTGTTGTACACCTGAAACTAATATAAGATTGCATGTCAGCTGTCATTGTAAAAGAATTATTTATGGGGTTCCTAAAGGACACACATTTTGACACTTATTACTCACGTTTGGTGCTTCTCTGAGCAAAAATGCCAAAGGTGAATGAGTGGTGAGGGATCGGGAAAGTTTCAGCAAGAAGACGGCAGCCTACGTCAGGCCTTAAAAAGCATGTCACCACCCTATTTATAAACCTTACTGCTCTGTCCCCTACCTACCTACCTACCAAAGTCCTAATTATCTTAAATATAGTATTTGCTACTTCTACAGAAAAAGAAGAAAGTTGGGTGGTTATAGTGAAGTAAAAGGATATTCTATCCTTCTCTTGTAATTCTTTCACCACTATAGGACTCTGAGAAGTGCTGCATTATAGAAACCTGCTTAACCAAGGGTTTTCAAAACTTATTTGTCCCTTCGTAGAATACTCACATCTGTGGCTTGCCTCAAAAGTGCTCCATACCAGATAAGAGGGAGGAGAGGGAGAGAAGGCTAAGGGCCTATTTTGCTCATGTTTTCCCTCTAACAGCAGGAGAGCTGGAGGACCAGGATAAGAGATTTGGCTTCCACTGCCCACTGGATTCATTCCCAGCCTGGCATCCTCCGTCTTCAGGCCCACCCCCTCTTCCCCTCCATTACACACAGCCCAGAGTCGAGGCAGTGCTCAAGGCAAGAAAAGACCAGAATCACACTTTCTTTCTAGAAACGAAACCAATTCTTGAGGTCTCCAACCCTCAGAAGAAAGGTTCAACCCCCCACTCATGCCCTTACCTCTACTATCACCTTCTTCTGAGAAAATAGTCTGTGCTGCTTTGGGGGGAGGCGGGGAATAGTCCAGACCAGCGGTCAACAAAACTATGACCAAGAGCCCAACCCTGTTCGCCACCTGTTGTTGTAAATAAAGTTTTACTGGAACACAATCCTGCTCGTTTGCTTATGTTACCTGTGGCTACCTTTGCATGACAAGGGCAGAGCTGAGTGGTTGCAACAGAGGTCATATGGCCCATAAAGTACAAATATTTACTATATAGCCCTTTATGGAAAAAGTTTGCCAACCCCTGGCAAGACCCAGAATTAGCTCTCATTTTGCCCTCAGATGCTCTTCTGCTCAGATCTTCTTAATAATCACTCAAGATTTTCACCCCCTACACACAGAAATGGCCTTCGGGGCCACTTCCATTATGTCCAAAAGGTGGCAGGAAGGGAAGGACAATGAATTCATTGGTAGCAGAGAAACCAAGTCTTCACATAAGCCTCACCCTCACATCCCTCTCGCCGACCCAGAGCCCTGCCACAGACGGAGTCCCTCCCACCATAGCCCTGAGGCAGATATCCTGGTGAGACCCAGAACCTCGGGGCAACAAGAGAGCTTGTAAATACCCCAAACACGTGCTGCGACGTGGAATGAATCTTACTTAGCTCATTCCTTTGTCCAGCTGAGCCTGCGACCAGCAGCCAGCAGAACTCTGGAGTCACAAGAGGAGAAGGGGCCCAGGCTGCAGGAAAAGGGAGACCGAGCCACCGCTCTAAATCTAAACGAAGTGACACCATTCTTTTCATAACTTCCCTCTACCTTCATCCAGTTCTGTGTCCCTCTTGGCCTCATCCCAGTTCATTGTCGTGGCTTCTGTGTGGGACTGAGACACCATGTAAGGTGAGGCTCATGAGGCAGAGCATGTGGGGCAGGCAGATTGCTGGAGGAGTCAAGAGTGGGTGCCCCGGAAGCCGAATACTGGGGTTCAATTCCCATCCTGTCATTTTCTTGCCTGTGGGATCTTGGACACGTGGAGTCATACCCTGTGCACCATGCTCCATTAAAGTGAAGCAAAGGATAGTCCCTAAGCTGGTCTTAGAGATGGGATGAGATTTTATGGATAAAGCACCTGACTACTAACCAGTAGCATACTGTGTATGCCTATTATTACTACTCCCTGCCAGGGGGCTCGGGGAAATGGAACCCAGGGTGCCACCCTGCGAGCCTTCCTCTTCTGCCTGTTTGGCATCTACACCTGAGCTGCTAAATTGCAGCTGGAGGACAATACCCAACCCTGCTGACAGTCTCAGGAACACTCACATCCAGCAACTTCGAGGGGCTCTCCTGGCCTCCCAGCAATTCTGCGTGTTTCCCAACCATCCCCGTATTTCACTGAAAAATAGAAACAGTCAGGGGAGAGCTGCCATGTGCTCCAGGAGGGCACCTTCCACACCAGAATGCCCTGGGCAGTCCCGCTCGCATAGACATCTCCGAATTATCATGCCCAACAATGAACATGCCACTCCGACCTTCCACTTGCTCCAGGGAAAGATCCACGAGCCACCCTGACTCCTGTGTTTCTCTCCACACCTCACAGTTGATCCATCCACATGTCTTACCCATTCTCCCCCAAGCATTGTCAAGAACCTGATCATTTCCCACCACGGCTCTCACCCTGGTCCAAGCCAGTGTCTGCCATCCAGGTTATAACTGGCCTCCCTGCCTTTGCCCACACAGTCAGACACATCACAACACAGCGGGCTCAGGGATGCTCTGGGTGGAGTCCTTTCTCCTTAGAACAAAGGGCCCGGCCGAACTGGTCACCTGCTCTGCCCTGGGTAGCACACCAAGGGCATTGTGTTCAGTGCTCGTCCCAAGCACATAGTCATTCAATGAATATTTGTTGCGTGAATGGTGTGTTCTAATGCCTGTTAACGAATAGCTTAGAAAATGGGCATCCACCACTCACTGGTTCCTGCTCTGTGCCACTGTCACCTACACAAGCTTGTTTGATCCGTCTGGCCACAAAGCAGCTCACCAACCCATCCTAAGGTCCCACAGCTGGAGAGGGCCGCGCCTGGACTCCATTCAGACTGGGACCACCTGGATCCAGGCACATTTACACCAAAAGAATTGACAGCTCCTGTCGAAAGAGGAGGTGTTCACAGAAATCATTTTCCAAATAGCTGACCCTGTTGATGTGTTTCTTTCAGGTTCATGACTACCTCCGCAGCAAATTGTGCTCCCTCTACGAAAACGACTGCATTTTTGATAAATTCGAGTGTGTGTGGAATGGGTCAGACAGGTAAGAAAGGCTTCGTGGCTAGGGAGCCTCCCAAAAGTGAGCCCTCTCCTGGCGTAGGCCCTGGGTGGTTTATTTTCACTGGATGTCCAAGTCAGGTCCCAAGGCTCCCAAGGTCCCAGTGACCCTGTGTGGGTCACTAGATGCCCCTGTGGTCAGGCCTGGAAAGAAGGGAAGGATGTATTGAGACCCTTGAATCTTCTTTCAGGACTAGCGCAGGTGACCACTTGACATCAGCGAGAAAATCCTATCTTCTACACACAAGACACCCCCAGAGCTTGGCCAACCTGCCTAAAATGAAGCTCCCTAGTAACCCCCCAGCATGAATAGTTCACATGAATGCAAATTTTCTAGATCAAAAAAGATTCCTTGACGGTGCTAGTGTAGACTTGGCCAAAGGCCCCGGTGGTTTGTTAGCTGAATTCTCACCTGCCCCATTTATCATACTCCCTCAACGTGATTTATTGCTGTTTTAAGGCCTCTGATTTCAACGATACTTCATATTACCTCCCAATAGTTCATTTTTAGTTTGACAAATACAGATGGTTCTCCGACTTCCAGGAGGACTCAGGCCAGGCAGCCGGGGGCTGTGCCCTGGTGAAGGTGGCACCACAGTGACCGTGTTGCTGAGCCGCTGAGACGCGTGGCAGGGCGCTTGGAGGCCCGCGCCCTTTGTGAGCGCGGGCCCACTCCGTCTCTCGTTTCATGTTCTTTGCCAATGAACCAAAGAGCCCTCCACTTGGCAGGCCTGGAGGAACTCACCCAGGGCAGGGGACCCAGGTCACACTGCCCAGTTGGTACAGGACAGGGGCAGAAGACAGCAAAGCAGTTGTGACATATGAACAAAAGCTCCCGCAGGGAAAGGAAACCGGCCCAGCCCTGTTATTTTATTATTTACTTATATATGTAGTGTTTATTCTTATATTTATTATGTATGTATTTGTTGTCATTGCTCTCATCCCCCCTCTCTCTTAGCCTAGATTCAAAAACTGCACTTACTGAGCACCCACCGTGTGCCAGGCACCTTCATACACAATGTTATTTAATCCTGACCATGACCCGACAAGGTGGTTTTTATCAGCCCCATTTTACAGTTGAGGAAACTGAGGCTCAGCAAGGTACACTAACCCGCCCAAGCTCCTACACCGTTGGTAGTAGAGACAAGAGTAACAAGTTTTGAGTTTGAGGCCTAAGACCAACTTTCTGTCCGTAACATCACAAATGGAAAATGTTATTCTCGGTTAAGATAAGGCTGGGGATTTTTTTCTTTCCCCAAAGAATTTCTCTTACTGTTTAAAAACAAGCCAGGTCATGGTTGGGGGGAGCCAATATCGTGTATGGGAAGCAGGGAGGCTGGGTGGCTGAATGCTTATGCCCTAGAGTCAGGCAGATGTGGGTCGGAGGCCCAACTTTGTCACTCTCAGTGTGACACTCACCAGGGTACTCAGTTCTCCTAGGTCAGTCCCCTCTGTGGGATAATGGAAGCTGAAATGAGATGTCGGGGGTCAAGCACCCAGCACCGAGCACCCTGCTCTAGAGACAAATGCATTTCACAGCACCAGCCTCCTGGGCCAGAGTAACAAAATCTAACCCTCAATGACCTTNTGCATTTCACAGCACCAGCCTCCTTGGCCAGAGTAACAAAATCTAACCCTCAATGACCTTGTAACAAAATCTAACCCTCGATGAGCTTGCTTAGCAGCGCTGATGGAGCACCCCAAAACTTACCCTTGGCTATGGCCCAGCCTTGTCAGTCTTCTTTCTTTTCTCTACACACCCAAATCACAGAAAACAGATGAGACGCTGTGCTCTGCCCCCCTAACCAGCCTGTCAGAGCTCCACCAGCCTTTCCAGGGGCAGCCACTGAGGAAGTTATACCAGGAGCACCATCTCCCCCTCAGCCTGCCACTATGTCCTAACTGTCACCATTAAAGGTTCAGTCCCCTGCTTCTGGAAGGCTCTTGGCATTCACCGCTCTCCTGATCAAATGTAGACACTCCTGAGAATGGAAAACGCTTATAAAATGCAGAACCCATCCGTCAGTCCACTAGAAAACCGTATTTCCCCATTCCAGTTCCTCTCAAAATGTGAATTTGTTTACTCTTCCCAAGTGAGACCATGATGACTCCCAATTTTTTAGGTGTTTTCTTAAAAGGCCAAACTTAGAGCTGGTGCTTAGCAGGGGGAGGCCATGCCCGGGGCAGTGAGCTGTGCTCTCAGCATCTGTCCCCTGTGCTGGTGGGAATGCCTTAGAGGTCAGCTGTAAGTATGCACAAGGCTTCATTGTTTTCAACACGCTCCTGCTTTCCTAACCTTGATCTGGCCTCACAATCCTGATCCAGGTAGGTAGGGGTGGGATCGTTAAAACCACTCATTGACTGAGCCCAAGAACTGACAGGAATCTACGGAACCAAAGTAATTCACAAGGAGGGTTACCATGATCCTTGTTTCCAAGCCCAGCCCAAGGGCTTGTGGCTCCTAGTGACTCCAAAGGAAGTCAGAGGTCACACTAGAGAACCTGTTTGGGTATTTGTTTGTTTTTAATAAGATGTATGGTGCCATAAGCAGGCCACAGAGTGGCGGTGTTTGCTCTAGAAAGACACCAGAGGGACGTGTTACTACCTTTCTCCACAGTACTCAGTTGCTCCCTATTTCCTCTCTGCCTTGCAGTGTCATCATGACCGGCTCCTACAACAACTTCTTCAGGATGTTTGACCGAAACACCAAGCGTGATGTTACCCTGGAGGCCTCGAGGGAAAACAGCAAACCCCGGGCCATTCTGAAACCGCGAAAAGTGTGCGTGGGGGGCAAGCGGAGAAAAGACGAGATCAGTGTTGACAGCCTGGACTTTAGCAAAAAGATCTTGCATACAGCTTGGCATCCTTCAGAAAATATTATAGCAGTGGCGGCTACAAATAACCTATATATATTCCAGGACAAGGTTAACTAGGAGGACAAGTTATTACTCCTTAATAATCTCACATACTGAATACTAGTCAAACGTTTTTAAATGTTTCTTTGGGTCTTCATTTGATGCATTGACTTTAATTTCCCTACACAGAAAACAACTGGGATAGAATTCAAAGGAGTCCAACTTTCCCATATCCCCAGTTCTAAGAAACTTTTGTCCAATCCAATAGGTCCCGGGACACTTCTGTTTAGAATTGCGAGCTGCCAGCTAACAGTAATTCTTCCATAGTTGACCTGAATTTCTGATGCTTTTATTGCCCAGTTTTCTCTGGTGGGTCCAGTGTTTTGTTGCTAGGTGTCTGCTGAGATAAAATGAGGTTGTCTGTAGTATTTAAAGCGAAAAGAGATAAGTTTTTTTTTTTAATTAAGCAATTCCCTTTGATTGAAAATTTCAACAAAAAATAAACACCGTTTACTCTACTCTCTAGAGAAATGCTCCTTGTTTTGTGAAAAACCAGACCAGTCAGCAGCTCCTGCCCCTATAGCGCTATTCCCCCCCTCCCCCCATTTTCTTTTTAACAGTTTCATTTGAGCCAGAGATTTATCTCACGAGGCTGTGAAGGGGACACAGAATGAGAAGGGGAGGACCACATCACTGCCATAGTGTCTCTTTGTAAGCGCCATAGAAACAGCCTGAGAACCTGGCTGGGAAGCACCGCGCAGGCCCCGGAGACAGACAGAGGCCTTTGCACGGCGCTTCCCGGCGCTGGCTTGGCAAGGCCGCGTGGGGCCAGGCTCCCTCGGCCGCTCTGTTCCTCTTGCTTTTTTGTTATTTTAAAGGGTTCCATATATAATCCTCTACTTACACATTCCCTGGCTTTTTCTCTTCACGCTTTTCCAGCTCCTTTATTCCACTGACTTCTAAAGGCCGAGTCCTGGTTGTTTATGAGCTGGCCTTCTAAACGAGTCAGGAGTTGGAGGCGACAGGGCACCAGCCCTGGCTCCCTGGCCTGTCCTTTTCGGTCATGTCTCCTGAGCAGGCCCCCTCCCCTCTTCCTGGGTTTGGTGACCAAAAGTAACAACCCATCCATCTCCACTGCAGCTAGAACCAACACAGCCAATAAAATATGCTGATTTATAAAATCTGTTCAAGCACTTCTGACCCTACCCAAGCTCACCATCTGGAAAAGCAGACCATAGGGCTCTCTTCCTGCAAACATGAAATAGGGCGCATGGAGAAGCTTCGTCACTGGAGCGAAGTCTGCTTGAACCTGCGGAGACTGGTTTTTCCTCTCCTCAAGTTGAAGATTCAAACTAAAACTTCCAGAAGGTTCTGTGTGTGACACCTCTGGGAGGGAGACACAGTGAATTCCAAGGGCTTATAGATTTGAAGAGGGGGCTGAGGGAGGGTGTGGGAGGTGCCCAGAAAGCTGGGTCTGGGCTCAGTGTCACTGTACCTGTCCTGATCACTCATGTCCCTTAACTTCCATTTAGTGGGCAGGAAATGATGTGAGATGAGAATTTTTCTTTCAGTTTGTACATTTATTACAAGTCCCAGCTTTCAAGTGTAGTTTGTTTTAGAGGAGAGAAAAGAAGAGCGATGCTAAGCTACGATCCATAATAGCAGCTTTGGGGCAAGGAAATAATTATCAACTCAAGTGAACATAATTCTGTAAGACGCAGCCCAGTTTCAGAAACATGAAAATATGAACAAACACACCTCCAAGTGGAGCGAGCACGCCGTTGAAGACATGCCTTTCTTCTCAGCATGTCTCACCTCCCCTGCAAAGAAAGCCTCATGGGGCAAGGCAGGCCCATGAGTCGCCCAGATGGAATCTCTGAGCGGATTCCTGGCCCAACTGGGGCAACGTTCTGGGAGGAGACCTGAAAGAGTGTCAGAAATCCTCCAACCCAGACTGAATTGTGGTATCAGGACACACAGAAAGGCCAGTGGGTGATTGTCCTAGGTTTACTGTCCCCCTCCCTCCATGGCCTTTCTCTGCTTCTCCGAGACTCAGCTCCTGTTGGTGCCAGGTGGGGATTGGGACAGATCATGTTTCTGGAACCTGAGCATCAACCCACCTCTGTACTATTACTCATTTAACATTTATCTAAGCTGCCTTTTTTAAAAACAAGACAGCCACCTCCAAAAAAATACTATTCAGAAAATGTCAGTTTTAACGTAGCAGTTATTTTTTTCTAACATTAAAATAACCCCATAGCCATGAGTGTAACAAACAGCATCCATGCACCGCCTACAGCTGTTTTATGAGCACCGTGCGTATGAAATGTTGGGACCCTGCGTAGCTCACACCACAGAACATTTAAGCTTGGGAGGCAGCAGAGGGTCTCAGTGGACAGTGGTTCTGCACATACCCGACTCAAGAGTGCCCCCCAGAACATATACATGAATGATTTGGGTCATTTTTATGGGGTTCACAGGCCCCCTACAGTCTATCTGTGGACTCCAAAGAAAAGCCCCTACACTAGTCCACCACCCTTGGCACAATGATGTAGAAAGATCCAGAGTGGGAGGAATTTGCCAAAGACCTCGGAATAGCCGTCCTCTCCTTGACCCCATACAAAGGATGCTCAGGACAAGCGGGAGGTCAGGCCGCAGGCAGCCATCTCTACCTCCACGTTTCACCGGCTCCCTGCTCCTGCCAGGTACCCACCTAGGCATTTTACAGTTGCCATCTCCTGCCCAGTGGTGGTGATTCTCTTGGTTGGTGGCACCGAGAAGTCAGTCTCTTTTCCAGCTGATACTAAAAGCTACTTGAAAGCTGACCTGCCACCTTTTCAACAGCTCATTGGACTCTAAGAAGCCAGCACGGCCTGTCCTACAAGGCCTGCCGCTCTGTACGAGCCATCAGCATACACTAGAGGGTGTCACCTGGCTTCCTGAGCTTTTACTAAACTCACCCTACATGCTCTGAGGAGAGATGCTACACTCCCGAAAGGTGGGCCACGCGCCTGAGTCATTAAAGGACCCCTACGTTAAATGCTGAGGCTTTAACAAACTACACATATTCTATCCCGAGTTTATAATGGCCTGAAAAGGGCACCTGTAAATAAATCAGCATTTAGGACCAAAAGAAAAATAACCTGGTCTTGGACTTTTATTTTTATATGGAAAAGTTGTAAAGACTTTAGGCCAACTAAATCTACTCACAAAGAAGAAAAGTTGCCTTGCCCCTTACGGACAGCCGTGTGAAATTGTCTCTTAGCTCAAAGAAAGGCTGACAATAAAAAATAATAGCTTTAAAAAAATCACCCAAAATGCAGCAGTCAGTCCCTGCCATTCAGAACAAGCAGTTGGAAAGCCAGACTCGGCATATGTGAGTGTTTTCTTGTGCGGAGGAAGGAAGGTGAGTTGGAAGAAAGCAGAAGGCCCGCAGCCAGCAGGAGGCATGGGCCCCACCCTGAATGCTCACCGGGAACCCTTGGCTTCTTAACTCCTTCACGCCTGGCTCCTGCCTTTTCTACTGAAGAAAAAAAATGCATCTCTGAAGCTCTCACTGGCTTTGTAACCAACCACGTCAGCATGTATTAGGCAACCGGCATGTGTAAGACAGAGCGATTGTCGACTGTCAGGTGGACAACAAAGATGAAGCTCAAGTTCTTGTAGCTACACGCCCCTGTGAGAAGCCGGCTGTCTCCAGAGTGTTCTTTGAACGTCCCGGGGCCGTGATGACAGAAGGCAGACCTGGAATACTCAGTCACCGAGAACGGGGAGATCATTTCCCTTACCTCGAACTTGCAAAGAAATTGCCTAAAACTTCCCTCCTGCCCTCCCACCATCACCCCCAATTCCTTTTTCAGTCCCTCTGCTGACTGCCTGCAGGGCCCAAGAAAGCCCTAGAAGGCCTCATAACAAGGCTTTGGGGGAGACGGTCTAGTCCACACCCTGACCGAGGGAACTCTTCCTAATTTGCCCTCTTATGGTGTGTTTTCAACAATTGCCCCCAAGGACCCAGCAATCCCCCGAGGCGCCGCTGGGAACATTCACTCGGCCACCCCACTCTTGGCGCCCCCCCCTCGCCCCCCCGTCCTTCTAAGTCAATTCTCAGGAACTGCTTTGCATGGAAGGAACTTGGAAATGGAAAGAACATGGAACCAGGAGATAGGAATCAAGGGTCCTGCTCCTGAATCCGCTGCTACGTCACTAAGCCACTCGGTCCTTACATCGGTCAAGTCGCCTATAAAATGTTCACAAAGTTGTCTGTCCTGAGCCCACAGAATTATTGAGGGCCACGAGAAATTCATTTACTTAACAACAGCTTCGATAAGTTTAAAGTACCGTAAAATAATAACAGCAATAACACTCGCTGAGGACCTTCTAGTGATTTCTCATGACCTGCTTCCCAGCATTACTCCCACCTTGTAAATGAGTTGGCTCGAGTTGTGAACCTGGCCAAGGGCGCATAGCCAGTAAGAGATGGAACCAGATTCTCCATCTCAAGGTTTCTGACTCAGAGCTCTTAAAACACTGTTTCTAATACACAATAGAAGCTAATACTTACTGAGTGCTTATTATGGGCCAGGCTTCCTACGAATTCCACGTGTATTAATTCACTTACCCTCAAAACTCTAGATGCAGATGCTATAATTGTTCCCATTTTACAGATAAGTAAACTGAGACATTACATAATTAACCAAATTTACACTGTTCACAAGTGACAGAGCAGACATTTTGGTCAAGACCCTTATCTTCTATCTTCCCTCTCACATTTTATAGATAGAAATAGAAATGAATAGAGAGAGAGAGAGATGAAAGTTACTGATTAGAAAACAAGTCCCCGTAATGCCCTTAGGTTCATCAGCGTCAACTACTTATGGAGCGCCTGGTATGTGCCAGGCAGCCAGGCCCTAGGCAAGGGCTGGACTTGCTGAAATGTATGGTCCCTGCCCTCCAGAAGATGACAGCCACATGGGAACCACATGTTGAAAATATTTTCCAGTACAATGAGGTATGTGGGGAGTGCAGAAATAGTACAGAGGAGGAAATGGTTAACTAATCAGGACCGATAAGAAAGGGGCTTCTCAGAATCAGCGACATCTAAGCAGAGTTTTAAAGCCGTCGCTCCCCAGACCGGGCATGCTGCGCGTTTCCGGTGGAGAGAGCAGCGCGGCGAGGCCCTGAAGCAAGCGCAGGCCTGCGGGGCAGCGAGAGGTGAGCGTCTCTCTAACTCAGTTAGAAACGGCTGCTTCAATTTGCCAGAACTGGCCTGGCCCCCTTCTTTTGTTCATCCAGTAACAAATATTTACGAAGCCCCCATATCCAGGTGCTGCATCTAGATAGAAATAGAATAAAGGGATACCGTAATGTAGCAGGCACTGGCCTAGGCACTTTTTAACATCATGACAACCACCTGGTGGGTAAATATATTATTCCGTTTTTATAGCTGAGAAACAGACTCAAGGGGGTTAAATGACACAGCCGGGGTGACACAGCCACAGTTTGATCTAGATCGGTCCGC